CATCAAGTCTTGGTAGTTGGTACCACTTTGGTCTCATCAAGTGAAACCTTGGTGGATGGTAGTCATTGTCCACCTGGTAGTCATAGTAAACTGAAGTGTGATTCACTTTGGGCAGATGCTTGTGAAGGTCATCTTCCTTTTTACATATTTTTGCATAGCTTTCTTGGTAGGAAAGAAGTCTCATATACTATCAAGAGCAGAGGGGCGGTTAGCCTTGGGCTTCTGAAGTTGACCAGTCAACCTCTTCTGCCTAAAGATAACTTTCTCTTGATACTTGCCTTTCTGTTAATCATTTCTAGTATGGTTATCATGAGGTTGTCTTTTGTGGGTTTGTCTTTGATTTTTCTGAAAACCTTTTCTCTTGTTAGGTTTTCTGCCAGGTTCATTAATTTTTATAATGGGTTTCTGTTGAACCTTTATCTTTCTATTTTCTGGTCTGACTTCCTCATGAGTAACCTTGGTACCGGATACACCAACATGGCAAATGGGGCTAGATATCCGTGGCTCTATGACTTTATTTAAGCTTTGATACCAAATGTTGGTCCCCGTCGTATCACTATATTGTATCTATATAATGATGTTTAAAGATGATGCTCTAGATGATATAGTAGAAGGTTTTCATTGAAGAAGGTTTTCATTGAAGAAGGTTTTTACACAATGATAGGGAAAATGAAGTTAGCGTAAAAACATCTCTTCTACGTAATATGCTCTACGGATGAGAACTTGGAAAACCTCCTCTCACGCTTAAAACTTTTCTCTCTAAAAGCTTACCTACACATTCTACATAGGGCATATATATAGCCTTGTAGAATGCTAGGTCAATAATGATTGGGCTCCCATAATAGGAGGCCCATTCCTAATATGGTAGGTATACCATTGCCATTTAAGGCCTATTTAATGTCTAATAAATACTACAAAAAGGCTAATTAAAATACATGGATCACAATCATAAAATATCTCTAACAATCTCCCCCTTTGTGATCCAATGTCTTTGTCAGCTCTTATTAGTTCCTTTGCCTTTTGAAGTAGTTCTTCCGCAATGCTAGGGCGTGCTCGTACATGCATAGCATTCTCCTCATTTCGAGTCTGTCATTGATTGCCTTTAGCACCGCGGTTATTCTGTCGAATTCTTTTATTTCAGCTTCAGAGGCTTCAGCAAGTCTTTGTTCGATATCAGATTTGAGCGGAATAAGTTTGTCTCTAATGATCTTCAGGGTCCCATCACAGTATCTTGCAATGTCATCTATCCACAGAATGCGTTTCTTTTCTTCATGATTGAGATAGATGACTGAGACCGGATCTCCAAAAGTGGCGTACGGTGGAAAATCTTCGAGCTCCGATCCGTATAAGATTGGCTTTGTAAGATTTGTTCTGGTGATGTTGTTCTCGAGAGCCATCTGAAGATCATGAGTGGCGTGAACTCTGACTTGCCTCAGCATGAAACGTCTTATTGCTTCATATCCTTCTTTGAGGACTCTATTCTTTCTGATGGACAGGTTCCTGTAGATCATCGACATTTGATAGATGTCGTCCATTTTGAGTAGCAAGAAGTCGTTCTCCTGACAGGTGAACTCTGTGCCATAAGTTCTTTGTAATCGATAAATCGAATACTTTATTCCATGATGATCTCCTCTGGACACATTCAGAATATCCCAAATAGGGCATTTGCTCGTTTTAAGATCATGTTCCAGAATCTGTCGCTGTAAGCTTGTTGATCGATGATATAACATATGAAGATGTCCGCCGACTTGTCTACCTTTTAGATGGGTAAGACCGCGGACTTTGAGCTCATCTAGTTTCTTGATCCTATCGGGATTTTTCCATAAATGCTTTCGGATTTCCTCTTGGAAGGGGGTAGTGATATTGATATTCTCCCATGGTTTTTCATTTCTGGGCAAGAGCGCTCCTGTTCTTCTGATAATGGAGGGTAGCTCTGCTGGAGTTTTCTTATAGTCCTCCCCTTCCTCGAGTTCATCTTCCTCAAGCCCTATCAAATCTTCAGCGCACTTTTTCAGCAAGTCTCTGAAATAGACTCCTCTTTGCATTTCATATTGCTCGACCTCTTGTCTGATGTCGTCCCATTCTGTCCATTCTCCGTTCCATCTTTCATCTATAATGATGTTTTCTAGTTGATCATGGATGGACAGGCTTGGTTCTTCAGAGGGAGCCTTTTGCAGTGTTGCTTCATAGGAGGTAGAGCCGGGATCACAAGGATTGCCCAGTGTCATCAGTCTAGAACTATGTTCTTCCCGATGGCCTGAATAGAATGGTGTACTCGAAGTAGCTACCTCAGGACTTCCACTCCATCCTTGGTCAATATCTCTGAGAGATATGCCTCGGAGTGTTATGTCTAGCTCGACCATGCTAGAGATATGTAGGTTAGCGGCTTGACTATTGGGTTGAGTGGGTGATGGAGGCTGGTTATTTGAGGATTCCGGTTGGGATTCGTGTGGGGTTTGTTGGCTAGTTGATGCTCCATGTTCGAGTGTCCGTTGCCTCTTGTTCTCCACCTCATGAGGATCTGAATCATCGGGGTCCTCATGTGAACGTTTGCGACTACGGAGACTTTCACGACATGTGCTATCAGTTTCTAATAATACATGAAGAAGGGATTTTTGTCTGGGGTGCGGTTGCCTTCTTCGGTGGCTAGAATTCTTGCTAGCATAATAGATTCGAGTTCCTCGAAATGAATAGTATATGGGTTAGGGTGAGGTGTGGTCGTTGCAGGGGAGGACACGCGTTCTGTATCTTGGGTTCCCCTTGAAGTGATAGGTGTTTGAGGTTGTGTGGTTGATGGTTCAGATGTTTGTAGGGTAAGTATGGGGGTAAGTTGTTGTTGGGAGTGAGAGGTGGATGATTTTGGTTGGGTAGTGTCAATCTGTAGCGCCTGGGTGGTCATGAATTCCTGTGCCCGAGCGGTTATTGCTTCGTGCACCCAGGGTTTGATGGTGGAATCCATGAAACGCTGCAGAATGATAGAAAGGTCGGTAGGTTCGGGCTCTCCGGTTACAGGGGTAGTAACCGTTGTCACAGCATCAGTAAAGATTACCGAAGTGTGGCCTGCAGATAATGATTGAGTTATCTGTTGAGCAGCAGGACTTCCGATCATCATTGATGTATCTCCGATCGTTGTTGACAGGTAAAGTGGACCTGTTGAGTGCAGTGGTGTGAGAAGTGTAGGTGTCCTAGAAAATTTTGAAAATGTAGGGAGTGTGACACTTAGACTCATCGTGTTTGAAGAAGGGGTAGTGGCCCGGGGCGATAGACCACTATATAGTTCCTCAACTGCGTCGTAGCATGGAACAGAGGTGGGTGTAGTATCCTCTATTTGTGAAATTACTACCTGTTGAGAGGCAGCAAAGTGGCTAGGTTGGGCTTGTGCATGCGCAGTTGGGCTAGATGCTACGTCTTCTACCCGGAAACTAAAAATATCGGTCTCTGCACCTATGGGGTTAGCCCGATTTATTTCTTCGAAGTCGGAACAACTATCAAATATGGCCATGTCTTCAGCAATGGCGCTGTCCGTTTGCACTCTTTGCATTAGAATGGATGATGAGGAGGGGTTATCATGACATACCTTAGAGCGAGTCTCACTGATGGTTTGTCCTTCAGTGTTTTTGATCTGGCGAGACTCCTCTTTGTTTGTAGCCCGAGAAAGCCTGATAATGAGTCGTCTTTTCTGTACAGGGGCTTTCTTGGCTTGCCTTGAGTTATCATTCGTGTCATCATCATCCTCATCACCTTCATCGTTGCCCCTCGTTTCAGCCTTGCTCCTAGAGTCCTCATCATCAGCATCTAATGTTCTGGCTACGCTTGATGAATCATGGGTAGTCTCTTCAGCACGGGTGTGGCCCTCAGCAAACAAAGTCTGATCATCATGGGGCCAACTGGCCACTGGTCTCTGTGGCCGGGTTAAACTCTCAGGACCCTCACTCACACTTGGCTGACTCCCTGGGGTAGGCTCAGGGGGGTTTATCTGAGCCATAGGGAGTATAATGTCTTTCTCTTCACAGTAGCATCGGACAGATGGATCATTTGGATCGGCTAACTGTAGAAGAGCTACTGGTATTGTCATGGGAACCAGTGTGCGATCCTCAGACATTTTCTTGAGTCATTGGACGGACGAGATGTAGACATTCTCCTTTGATAGTCTTCGAGGAATTGCTGGAGTGGATCGGGAGATATGTCGTATCATCATGGAAAACCACCTCATGTAGGGAAGGTGTTTGATGTGGTCCATCTTCGTCCTCTTTCTGATTAGCTCGAAAAAATCGTCCCATATCAGCGAGACGTAGTCGTAGTTTTTCATGAATGCGATGCCATGAAAGATGGTCAGAAGGTAGATGCTGCACTTGTCGAAGCCTGTGTGTTTGGCGGTACAGCACCTGTTGAGAATTGCAAGCATGGTCTTCCATGGTCGTGGTAAGCGTCCCGGTCTGACATTAGAAATAAGATTGATTGGTTGAGCGTGGCCTAGCTTGATCATGTCAGCCATCATTTCAGGTTCAGATGCCAACTCATCATAATGGTCTTCTTCTGGGATTTGCAGAGCTTGGTGCAACAGATCTTTGTTGATGGTGGCCTCAGTGTTCATGATAGTGACGGTCAACTCGCCATCTATCTCCTCATTGTTGTCATCAAAGACCTTGTTAAGTGTTCCCCAGAATTGTTGGAGATACACTTCTTGTACTTCAGCAGATTCGCTCAGGGCCTTCCACAGTGGGTGGCCTTTCAGAATGGCAATGACGACCTCATCTTGGCACGAGAACACCTCCGGGTCCAACTTTGGGTTGTTCTCTTTGATTGGGTACCAGCTCGCCCTTGGATAGATCTAACTGATTTTGGGAACAGCTGCCATTTCGATTTGAAAATGATAAACAGATTAGAGCATTTGATCAAAACGGTAGCTAAGTCCACAACTTAAGCTCTTATTTGGGCCCCTTTTTCTTCTATTATGATCAGGGTTTGACAATTTGGGCCCTTCGTTGTTTTTTTTGTGTGTTTTTTTGTGTTTTTTTTATTTTATTTTTTGAAAAATTGGGCCCTTTAAACGTTTCCGATTCGTTTCATAATGTGGGCCCTGACTTTGAAATTTTTTTGATGGCCCAACACTTATGTTTTTCGCATGGGCTGAAATCGCACAAGGCTTGTTTTGCGCACCATCCCTAAATCGCATATAGGGATTTGGTGCATAGTAGTTTCGCACATCTGGGGAATCACGCGTCCCCATGAATGGCGCATAGCGAGAATCGCGCACCAATGGAATCACGCATCCCCTTAATCGCGCAAGGCTAGATTCCCGCACCAGAGTAATCGCGGATCAGTTTCGCGCAGGGGCGGTTCGTCTTCTTCGTTGAGTCTAAACCTGTTCATCGCCATTAGTGTACCTTTGAAGCATTTTCATTGAGAAAGTATGAGAGTTTTTACCCTTTGAGTTTGTGATGAGCGAAAACCTTGAAAGCTTAATAGGGGAGATGAGCGATTTTGATTTGAGAGGGGAGAGAAGCTCGAACGTTTCAGCGCAAAAGAGAATGAGTGAATGGGGAGGAGATGCGAGATTTTGGAGTTTAAATAGGGCCCGGAAATTTTGAACTTAACCGGCCCATTTTGTTCTGTTTGAAATTGCTCCCCCTCAACACTTCTCTTTTAACAATGAATATTTATGAAACTCTTCCTTAATTTATGCCTGATTTTGAAAAAGCTCCCCCTTGATTTATGCATTGAAAAATTAATTTAAAAATGATGCATGAAAAAAGAAAAAAAAATGTGATGAAAGAAAAATAAAAATAAAAATGAGATGTGTGCAGGATAAAAATAAAATGCATGAAAAATTAATTTTAAAAAAATGCAATTTGAAAAATATGTTTAAAAAGAAAAAAAATGATCACACACACACAAGTCAGAGTTACGTATTCGTTCTGGTTCAGCATCCCCAGCTTAGAGATCAGGAAATTGAATCTCTTCTCATCCAGGGCCTTTGTGAATATATCAGCCAGTTGCAATTCCGTGGACACAAAGTACATGTCCACGGTGCCCTTCTCAACGTGATCCTTGATAAAATGATATCTGAGGTCAATATGCTTCGTCCGTGAGTGATGGACAGGATAACAAGTGATGGCAATTGCACTTTGAGAGTCACTATAGATCGGGATGTGTGAGAATGTGAACCCATAATCTTTCAGCTGTGTCCTCATCCAAAGTATTTATGAACAACAACTAGTAGCCGCGACATATTCTGTCTCAGCTGTAGAAGTGGACACACAATTCTGCTTTTTAGAAGACCAGCACACCAACTTTTCACCAAGAAATTGAGCACCGCCGGATGTACTTTTTCTGTCCAGTTTGCAACCCACAAAATCCGCATCTGAGTATCCCACTAGGTCAAAACCTGATTCCTTGGGATACCAAAGGCCCAGATTAACTGTTCCTTTCAGATATCTCAGAATTCTCTTCACTGCATTCAGATGTGACTCCTTAGGATTTGCTTGGAATCGTGCACAGAGACAGGTTGCAAAGATAATGTCCGGTCTGCTAGATGTATGGTACAGCAAGGATCCGATGATAACCCGATAATTGGTAGCATCGACTGATTTTCCGGAAGGGTCAACGTCGAGCTTTTGTGAGGGAGACATGGGGGTTTTCATCGTTGACTTGCTGTCCATTTTGAAGCGCTTAAGCATGTCATGGATGTATTTGGACTGGTTGATGAAAATTTCGTCTGGCATTTGCTTGATCTGAAGCTCGAGAAAGAAGCTCAACTCCCCCATCATACTCATTTCAAACTTGGTGCGCATCAGATTGCTGAACTTTTGACAGAAATTTGGATTTGACGAGGCAAAAATGATGTCGTCCACATAAATTTGTATCAGCATGATGTCACCCTTGTGTCGCTTGATAAAGAGAGTTGGGTCAATCTTTCCTTTCGAGAAGCCTGATTCCACAATATAATCTGATAATGCTTCGTACCAGGATCTCAGTGCCTGTTTCAGTCCATACAGGGCTTTTGTCAGCTTATATACATGATTTGGGCGTTCAGGATCCACAAAGCCTTCAGGTTGTGCAACGACGACTTCTTCTTTCTGTTCACCATTGAGAAACACCGTCTTGACATCCATTTGATATACGGTGAAGCTTTTGTGTGCATCGTATGCAAGGAACAATCTTATGGCCTCAATTCTTGCCACTGGTGCAAAGGTTTCATTGTAGTCGACTCCTTCTTGTTGATTGTATCCTTTAGCTACCAGGCAGGCCTTGTTCCTTATTATCACACCGTCTTCATCTTTCTTGTTTTTGAAAACCCATTTGGTGGCGATAATGGTTTTTTTGTATGGCCGCGGCACCAAGGTCCACACCTTCAGTCTTTCAAACTGATTTATCTCTTCTTGCATCGCAACAATCCAGTCCGGATCAGCCAATGCTTCAGCCATCTTTGTAGGTTCTTTCTGACTCAGAAAACATGAGTATAAGCATTCATTGACTGATGCGGCTCTGGTACTGACTCCTCTTGATGGATCACCGATTATCAACTCTGGCGGGTGTGCTTTCGTCCATCTTCTCTCATGAGGGAGATGTAGTGGAGTTATGATTGCTTGATCAGGATCAGTATACTCGTTTCTTTGTTGCGTCTCAGAAGTTTCTTGTACAATCGATTGCTCTGGTTGTTCAATCTATGGAGTAGGAGGATTAGATGGAGTTTGTTCATGTGCATGCTCATCATTGTTCTGAACAGGAGTTTGTGATTCTTCTGCTGTGGGAGCAGGTAACAGGTAAGACTGAGCAGTAGTAGAAGTTGTAGCTGGTGATGCACGTGGCTGGCTGTAGAAGTGCTCAAATAAAGAGTCCAGTATCACGTGCTCATCCGATCATCTCTCTCTTCCCTGTTCTCCTATTCCAGAAGATGACTGAGTCTGGTTTTCTTCAGAGATTGTTGGTTCAAATTGGAAATGCTCAGAAGCCATATCCGCTAGTTCATAGAAGCTCACATTGATGCTCTCCATGACGGTTCTTCTATCTTTTAAGTACACTCTGTAGGCTTTCGAGTTGGTAGAATACCCAATAAAGATTCCTTCATTTGCCTTTGGATCAAGCTTTCCCCTAGCATCCCTGTCATTCATAATGTAGCATTTGCAACCGAAGATTCGGAAAAAGGCGATGTTTGGGAGTCGCTTGAACACAATCTCGTAGGGGGTCTTATCAAATCTTTTATGAATCATGGTCCTGTTCTGGGTAAAGCAAACCGTGTTGATAGCTTCAGCCCACATGAAGTGAGGAAGCTTTTGACTGTATCAGCATAGTTCTTGGTGCTTCCACCAATGTCCTATTCCGTCTTTCTACTACACCGTTCTGCTATGGTGTTTTAGCTGCAGAGAACTGTTGAGTAATTCCCTGAGCTTCATAGAAATCGGCCAACTCCTTGTTCTTGAACTCTGTCCCATTGTCAGTTCTGGCTATTTTCACGTTCTGCTGCAGGTAGTTCTGAATGGTCCTGCTGAATGTTATGATCAGATTTGGAGTTTCGTCCTTGGATCGCAAAAATTTGGTCCATGTGTAGCGTGAGTAGTCATCCACAATTACCAAAGTATATTTGCGTCCATTGATGCTTTGAACACGCATTGGACCGCACAGATCCATATGAAGTAGCTCCAGGGGATAAGATGAGGAGGGATATTGTTTTGATTTATGTGATGCGCTCCTCATCTTTCCCAAATGGCAAACAGAGCAGTGGTGATTGGGTGAGTTCTTCAGTACATACATTCCTTTCACAAGCTTCTTTGAGGAGAGGGAACAGATTTCAGGCAGATTCAAGTGTGAGAGACGTCTGTGCCATATATTGTTCTTGAGATGCTTTGGACAAGAGACAGATGGATATGGGGATCGGACTGTTTTAAGATCGATGGTGTAGAGATTGGTTTTCCTCTGAAACCTTAATAATGGTTTCCCGCCCATATCCATCACACAACATTTCTTAGCATGGAATCTCACCTCCATTCCATTGTCACAAAATTGGCCAATGCTAAGCAAGTTGTGCTTCAGTTCTGTTGGGAATAATTTATGGTGTTCAATCTAGTTAGTTATCTTTGTATTTGTGTAGTTATCAATTAAACGTGTAATACGGGCCACAAATGTGTATCAGCCCGTGGGCTTCCTTGTAACCCGTAAGTTAGCTAACTTCTCCTATAAAAGGAGGCTAACTTACGGGAACCTATCTGATCGAAAAAGGCTTAGAGTGCAGAGGCGTAAAGATAGAGAGAAATTAGGGTTGCCGCTGCTCTCCTTCTCCAGGGAGAGTAGCGGCAGGTTCATACGGTATACCAGATTCGCGTTCAATCTTGTCGATTTCTTCCTATCTGCTTCTTATTCTTCTTGTTATGATTGTTGAATGTTAAATTATGGGACTAACATTTGGTATCAGAGCCGAGGCGTGAAACAGGTTGGATCTGTCTGCGATTTTTGGATTTAACGAAGAACTGCTCTGTTTTTTTCTTCAGTTTTTCTATATGTAGAGATTTGCTCCTGTAATCTCGTTTGTGAACGAAATTTTGTAAAAATCATACTGTTGGATTCGCCTTTCAAAACCGATCCAGCAGCATACCTCTTTTTTCGTTTTCTGCAATTTTTGTTTTTCGAAGATCTCTACATTGAGATCTCGAAATCCTCTTTTTTCACTGCTGCAGAAACGTTTTTGGCTTGAAACTGGTACAGGAGAATCTCGACTTTCAGGGCTATTCAGAACAGGTTTCAGATTTTCAAAAATCAATGTTTTCGTTTTGCAGGATCTCGACATTTAGGGACTCGATTTCTTCTTCTCGACATTTGAGATCTCGAGATTTGCATCTCGACATCTTGATCTCGAGATTTGCATCTCGACATCTTGATCTCGAGATTTGCATCTCGACATCTTGATCTCGAGATTTGAATCTCGAAATCTTGATCTCGAGATTTGCATCTCGACATCTTGATCTCGAGATTTGAATCTCGAAATCAAGATCTCGAGATTTGAATCTCGAAATAATGATCTCGAGATTTGAATCTCGAAATCAAGATCTCGAGATTTGAATCTCGAAATCAAGATCTCGAGATTTGAATCTCGAAATCAAGATCTCGAGATTTGTGATCTCGAGATTTGGAATTTCGAGTTTTGGGATTTCGACATTTGGGATCTCGATGTTTTGGATCTCGACATTCTGAAAATTTCGAGATTTTCAAAATTTCTCGATGTTTTGAATCTTTCAAAGTTTGCAGTTTCTTGGAACTCATAATTCGAATCTTGACATCCTTTGCAGTTCATCGAAGCTTTACATTATAAGGATCTCTAAATGATTCCCTGCTTATATATGTTTCATGAGTTTTCGATGTTCTGATGTTTTTCAAACAGCAAGTTTTCGAGATTATGAGGTTTTCGAAACTCCAAAGTTTTCGATGTTCAAACATTTTGAAATTCTGCAGATTTCGATATTCTGAGGTTTGTTTTGCAGGTGGATTTGGCCATTATTCTTCGAGGCAATCTCTAGAATTTTGTTTAAAATCCACCTGCTCTCGACATTCAACATCGAGCACCTCATCTTCGAAGAAATTCCTCAAAAACTCAAAATTAGAGATTTTCTGCGACACCGCACTGTTTTGGCCATAACTTTTGACTCGGTGATCCGATTTGAGCAAACTTTTTTTTGGAAAGCTAACGAGAAGATCTACATTAATTCTAGGGCTACGCACCAGAACCCATTCTCACGCGCCCTCACTCGCAGTCTTTGAGGGTCAAAACGTTAGTTTTCCGACAAACATTGTAAATCATCGATGTCCAGGTCAAAACTTAGGCAAATCTGTTCAAATTCTTTCATTGTCAACCCTGAGGTCAAAGCTTTTCTAAACTTCAATGTAAAGTTCTGAAAATCGTAGATAATTCAATCTACCTCGCGTCAACGGTCATCTTACAACAATCAACAATCAACTGCTGAAGCCTCCCCTGACTCGTCAACATTATGTGATCATCAATATGCTGAAATTCTACATGGTGAGCTCAGGGAAACCGTCATGTGTGGTACATGTTCAGATTGCTCCACACACATGGCGGGTATGACAAGATGTGAGCAATCAAACCTTGCACATTCTGAGGGGGAGTTTCAGTTTTCTCCTCCTGGCGCCTGACACCGACAAAGCAAGGAATCTCTCAAAGGATGCAACATTCTAGGGGAGTGTTCAATGTTATCCTCCCCGGTGCCTAACAATGACAAAGCGTACCGAGTGCTCCAGTTGAGGGGGAGTACAGAGAGAAAACGAGAAAGTAATGAGAGAACATGTCCCTATGGCTTAGTAAACCCAACTAAGCCTACCCAAGGGACAAAGCCGAGCGTAAGTGCGTAAGTGAGCGAGTGAGTGAGTGAACATTATGAGCATTAGGAAGCAGAAGGCTCAAGTGAGAAGAAAAACAATTATCAATGATGAGTCTGCTACCTCAATTGCCTGCTATGAATTGAACATTTGCTCCTAGCCACTAAAATACTCTGGACTATCCCCATAGGTTCAGGACTGAATTTATTCAGATCCCGGGTAGAAGTCGCTGCATTTTGTCCAAACGGCGCATGCACAACCCTACCCTAGACCACTCACTTGTCTCCCAACAGACAGGTGTTTAATCATAGTTCACGGGGAACCGCATCTCTCATTACTGTCTCCTTCCGAGGCAAGTAATACTGACTACAGTGGCCTCAGCCCCATGCCACTGAAATTTCATTGATCACGTCGTGTCTAGTTACTCACTTCCCAAATGTTTTGAAATTTTCTAGGACACAGACACATTTTAGAGTCAGTTGCTAGTCTTCAAGACTTGCGAGAACTTCCATAGGGCTCATCTATTACAGATGTAGACCAATAATTGGAAGGAAGTCCTGTTGTTGCAA